CAAATGAAAAACAACCAACCATCTTTACTCCTGAAAATAATGGCTGGACGTTAGAAGAAAACCAGTATCACTTTCATTGGTTTGATGGTGACCAATTACCAGGAGACGTAATTCTTTTATTTGTTTTTTACAGAAGACGCTGACAGCAACGACAACAACATAAATGATGACGATGAGAATGATGACTCGAATGGACAATATGACTGGCTCAATAATGAAAATTATAATGATTATTTTGAAGATGATAACGATGATTAAGGACAATCAAATACTTTCACTTACTAACTATAGTTATTTTCTTTTATACTAAAATTATTTTTTCTTAAAAACGTAAAAACTGTTATCTTTGGTAAAAAAAATAAAAATAATTTTTTATAAAACACAATTACTCCGAAAAAAAATTAATTTACCGAATATATGCAGTAATTTGTTTTACTTTAATAATTATTACCTTTATTATTTATTAATTATTTATATAGAGATGCAAAAATATTTTATCGAAAGCAGTAAGTACTTTTTGGAATATATAAATTCTTCGCTGACACGCATGCGCATAATGCTCTCGCGCTCGTACTCACGGCCGAATAATTTTTGTGTTTAGGGGATTTTTGGTCATTCCAATTTGTCTGACTGATTAAATATAATTTTGTAATAGTTATCTTGATAACATATTCAAAAATCAGACATTAAAAAATAAGTGAAGTTCATTTATTTTTGGTGGATCTTTAAAGCGTCTGACAAAAGTGTTGGTCCATGGAAAGTGTCTGATACTTGCGATACTACTTGAGAATGATATTCTATTAAATATATATAAAAATCAGCCATATAAATTGAAGTTAAGTAACTCTTATTTTTAGTCACCTTTCTCACCTGGTACCTGCCCAGGTGTCACTGGGCAAACTTCACAAACACGCAGGTATACAAAGTACATGAGACGCTACTGATAACTTAGTTTCATCTTTTAGAAAATAAGTTATGGCTTATCGCTCTGGGATCTTACTCTATAAACGTACAAGAATATATAAAAAAAATCATAGCGTGATGAAAAAGTTAGAATAAGTTCAATATTACTAAACTAAAAATATTTTGAAAAAGCGTTTATTTAGAAATATTATAGATTTTAAAATTGTATAAAAATGAAACTAAACAAACAGAAAAGATAATGACAATTTGTGCAAATCCAAAGAAACATTACCCTAAAATCGATATTATCATGCATTCCCACTTCAGATAAATTAGACTGTGCTGGCTGTAAATTTTTAGTTTTATAAAACCATGAAACAAATATATTTCAATAGTAGTGATGGCACCTGTACGGTTTTCACCGGGACGGTTTTTTAAAGGTTTGTCTGGTGTCCGGGAATATCTTTTATAAATCTTTTATAAATAAAAATACAAACATAGTCTTAATAAAAACGAAAGATATTTATAAAAAAAAATGGCTGACACCAGGTTTGCTAAAAAGTATTAAAAAGAAGCAATGTACAAATATAGCTTAAAACATCCAGATAATATAGAATTAAAAGAACAATACAAAAACTATAATAATCGATTAAATAATATAATTAAAAAAGTCAAGAGAACATATTTTTCTCGACAAATTGAAACTAATAAAAATACATCTAAAGCCGTTTGGGAATGCGTAAAAGATATTTGCGGTAAACAAAAGCAAAATAAAAACATTGAGGAAATTAAGCTTTTTGACGGAAAAACAGTAAAAAAACGGATGAAATTGTAAATCACTTTAATACTTACTTTAGTACAATTGGAGAAAATTTAGCTGACAGAATACCAGATCTGAATAATTATGAAGATAATTTAGATTTTTTCTATCTAAAAAATAAAAAATCTCCAGGTTTGGATGAAATTCGTGCAGATACTTTAAAACTAATTGCTTACGAAATTGTTGAACCATTGACCTTTCTAATAAATAAATGTTTAGATACAGGGTGTTTTCCTAAGATTTTAAAATGTGCTATAGTCAAACCGCTATTTAAAAATGGAAATAAAAATAAATTAGGAAATTATCGACCAATATCGCTATTATCAACTATTTCAAAAATAATTGAAAAAATTTTAAAAATACGCCTTTGCAAATTTCTAAACAAATTTCGTATATTATCTGATCGTCAATTTGGTTTCAGGGAGGGTCGATCAACTGAGGATGCCATTTATAAACTAACATCAACAATTTATAACTCTTTGGATAAAAAAGTACCCATTTTATGTATATTTCTAGATCTCTCCAAAGCCTTCGCCACTGTGTGTCATGTGAAATTATTAGAAAAATTGCAAAAGTATGGAGTTAGGGGTAAATCATATAACATTTTTGAAAGTTATTTATCAAATAGGTAGCAGCTTGTTCAAATTGGAGATACTAGAAGTGATTCACAAACAGTAACTGTTGGAGTTCCTCAGGGAACCGTGTTAGGCCCGATCCTTTTTTCTGTATACATAAATAGCCTTCTCAATTTGGAATCACTTGGCCAAATTTTTAGCTTCGCGGATGATACGGCTGTCATATACACTTCGTCTTCTTGGGATAACCTAAAACAAAAAGTTGAAAGTGACTTTCCAAGAATAGCAAATTGGCTTCAATATAATAAACTTACAATAAACTATACAAAAACAAACTACTTACCGTTTAGCTCCTATACTAGTGGTCTTCCTTCCATGGGATCTTTAAAAGTAGGCCTAGGTATAGAAATCCCTGAATCCTCTTCAGTAAAATATCTTGGAATTCTTATAGATAGGCATATGAGGTGGGATTTACATACCAAGCAACTTATTAAAAAAATAAGAGGATTATTGCCCAAATTCAGGTATTTAAAAGATTTTTTAAATGTTCATGCTCTAAAAACAATGTATTTCTCTTTGGTACAGTCGTTATTAGTCTATGGTATTATAGGTTGGGGAGGAATACACGATAACTTTCTGAATGATGTTCATGTGGTGCAAAAATGGATTTTGCGTATTATCTATAACAAAGATATTCAATATTCTAGTAACTCCTTGTACAAGGAATTAAAAGTTTTTGATTTAAGACAATTATATTTTTTTAAAATTCTTCAATTTATAAAAACAAAAAAAATTGTTTTGACATCACATGAACATCGGTATAATACACGACGAGTAGAATCTGTTTATTTTCCTCGTAGTGAAAAATCTATAGGACAACGTACATGCAATTATCTTGCACCAAGAATGTATATTTTAGTCCCAGAAGAGATACGAAATATACCGTCTTATAATGTATTCAAAAAACATCTAAGAAACTGGATTCTTCAAGAAGACCGAGAAGAATTTACTGTTATAAATAATTACCTATCGTAAACTATTATATTCATTATCCATACTTTTAATAACTGCACTGATTTTCCGATTAATTTCTTTAATTTGCTAAAATTTGTAATTTACTCACCCAATAATAGGACTTGTTCTTCTGATTACGACCTATTTCTCGATTATGTCCTCTATCTCGATTATGTCCTCTATCTCGATTATATCCTCTATCTCGATTACGACCTTTCTCTTGAGTGTAACTAATTCCCGATTTTGACCCTTTTCCAAGTATTACATTATATAAATAATTTAATTTTTAACATTTTGTCTAAGATACAAAGAAACTGGTCCATTGGGCTTATTCATTATTTATTAGGTCATATTATTATAGAATTAATTTTTGATTAAATTTTTTAGTAATACCTACCACGTACAAGCTGTCCATAACAGCTTCTGTGTAGTTCATGTTTATTTTGCTTATCTTTAAATGACATTTTTTATACATTATATTTGTTTTATGTGAATAAACAACATTATTATTATTATTATTATTATATTATCTGGATAAGTTCGTCCTGTAATTTTTTTTAAATAAATTGTGGGTATATAAAAATTTCAAATTTAATAGTACCCATTTTTAATTTTTTCCAAAAATTTAAAAGCAAATATGTGTGTATGGGAATGTCGTGTCCTCTAGTGCAATAATTACAACCTATAGCACAGTGTTTTAGTTTTCAAAATAAATCATAAAGTGAATGTACCCAGACAGCACACCAAATCCTTTGGATATCTACTGAACATCCCAATATCCACTGAATGTCCAGTCCATGGTGGATATCTATTTTATATCTATAAAATGTAATTTATAGACATGCAAATTTCCATAAATAATAGTAATTATATAGCAAATTATTAAAAAATTACGCCATTGTGACTAATAGTACCGTTCAGATATTTAAAATTAATTTTTTTAAGGTGTATTCAATATCCCATGAACATCCACATATATCAAAGTCTTAGCGCGGACGCAAACCATCGTGGATAACTACTAGATGTAATTTTTGATTTTGCTTCCTAAGTATAGATGGCGATACCACTTACGTATCTACTCATGCTCAACCCGCCATAATTGAGTTGATCGAACATTTTTTCGCATTAAGACTCTATTAGAGATTGGAGTCGAGATATTTCCATTTATTGCTGAAGAGTCCTAATAAGGATGACTTTTTCCTTAGTGGGCAAACTCAAAGGCAGATTGTTGGAGATATTTTTTATCTCTATTTTCTTTCGACGTTATCATTCATTTGGTTACTTATGAATGTCTACTAAAGATACCTATAAAATATTTTGCTGAATATCTGAATTCTATATCCTGGGATATAGACGGACATTTGGTTGGATATCCATATTTGGATATTGGATATCCACAAAATATATTCTGTGGATATCTCTGGGATTTCTTGTATTGTCTGGAAGATACTAATTGGATATTTTGCTGAATATCCATAGGATATCTTCTATATTCTGGATATAGACGGACATTTGGATATCCATATTAGATCCACGGAATATTTCTGATATCCTGTGGATATATTGGATATCCACAAAAGATATTCTGTGGATATCTTTGGGATTTGGTGTGTTGTCTGGGTACATGTATCCTCTAGTTTCAATCGACCATGTCCGTGTCCGGGTTTTGGGAAATAAAAAGGTGGCAACCCTATTTAATAGTCTTTATTAAAAAAAATTATACATTTATACAATATTAACAGTTGCTAGATTTTGATAAAACCCATCTTCAGCCACAGAGGAAATATTTGATAAGTGAATGGCTTTCAGGTCACAAGTACCAAATTCATAATCTTGATATTTTTCCATAATTTTAGTAGCATCCAAGCTTTCCCGTTTTGTCCATCTTCTTTTAGGACCACTACTAGCCGGTAGTTTCCTGTATTTTGTGTTTATTAAAGTCATGTGAAGTTTGACATTTTCTTCATGCTTTTTCAATAAACCTTAAAAACAAATCCATTATATATTTTTAAAAACAAGTTAAAAAATGATTTTCTTTTATAATGTCCCTCAGATCCTTTTTCAAAGTCATCAAACATATCAACAAATAAACTCAGTAGACCTTTATTAATGAAAAGAGGTGTTCCACAAGGATCCGTACTAGGCCCTCTATTATTTTCAATATATACCAATGATAAGGTGACCATTTGTACTAATTTTTCTAGTACAATACTGTTTTCAAGGCATAGGTCCTGGTTAGTCATTAAACAAAACCAGTACACGAAAACTAGTTTTAAAACGTTAAACCAAATTTACTCCTATTTTAAAATTTATACTGTGCGCGTCAGTGAATTAAAAGAATTTTGTAATTTTGTAGATATAGAGTATACAAATCTTTTAGTACAGTGCTACGCCATGGTTAGCGTTACGGCCAGCTATAGAGCGTGTTTTAGAAATAGATATTTTGCGTCTAATGAAAAAATTCCGACAATTCCGAATTTTGGCTTTTGTTTCTACATAATGTGTCGTCAATGTTTCACAACACATTTTTATGTTGGAAACAAGCATCATTTATAAAGACCTTAAAACTAAAATTGCTGACAGGATAGCAAATGTGTTTCTTCCTCTGCAAGTTTGACAAAATTAATTTAAAAATGCTGGATGAAGAAGAAGGCTTAGTTAAATCAAATGTTTCCAAAGAAAAAGTGCTGGAATTTTACAGGACATGTTTTCAGTATCTGGACGAATGGGAAGACCAATTTGAGGAAATCGAGAGATTTAATTGGATTACACTAAACATGAAACCTACATATCAAATTATTCAAGAATGTAGTGATTATCTACTTTGACATTATCCGGAAATAAATTTAATTGAAGATGAGCACTTTGATGAAATCGGTTTCGTTCAGCGCTACACCTCAGATGAGAAACTTGGGCATTGAAATCAAAATTGTGTTTCGGCATCAGATTAAAATTTTTGAAACCTTTAATGAAAATGATGTTTCCCACAATAGTATATTGTCTCTGTATGCCAGGAACTAATGCACCTACCGAACAGGTTTTTTCTTCATTAAACAATATCTGGAGTAGCGAGGAAACCCAATTGAAAGTAGAAACTTTGAAATCGTTGTTGATAGTCAAAAATAATTTTAATGCAAGCTGTATGGAATTCTATGGAAATATTCAGAAAAACGAATATTTGTTAAAAGCAATTCATTCTTCATAAAAATATATGTTTTTTGTTTCATTTTTTTTATATTGTAAAATGATATTTTAATTTTTTATATTTCTTGTTTAAATTAAACGTTTTTTGATATCTAAGTTTTTTATTTACTTAGGATTAATTCAAATTCATATTATCCTGGTTTCAGTTCAGAAAAAAATCTGATGTGTCTAACACATGACTTTCCTATCTAGTTATCATAGGCTTTTTCCGGTTATTTTGTACAACCTATTGCAGCATCTCTATAAATGTTTAGAGGATAAACTAAATATATACATTGTCCACATACATCTACCTCGAAACATTTTTCTATATTCATGGAAAACGAAAATACTGAAAAATTAAAATTTCCTACAATTTTTTCATTACGGTCCATTTTAGAAAAATCATGTATATACAAAAATTATAGAGATCGATATCGCAAACAACTTTTATTTCAAAAACTTTCATAAAATTCAGAATTTTGCACATTTTGTCAAATTTCTCGAATACGGACCATTTCAGGAAATTTTTACATAAAACAAAAATTATAGATAATAATATTAGAAGTAACTTTTATTTGAACAATTTTTTTCTCCAAACAGTAATAACAGATATATTCCATAAAATATAAAAGTGGCCTCCCATAAAGTACCCCCCCAGATGTTCCGACTATGTCTAAAATCTAATCGTTTCACGTCAGGCCAAAATAAACCTTAAGTTTAAAATTTAATGTTTTTTCTTTATCTGTTTTTGAGTTTTCTTCAAAATTCGAAATTTACACATTTTCTCAAATATCTCGAATACGGTCCATTTTAGAGAAATTATATATAGAAAAAAAATTATAGAGAATTATATTACAAACAACTTTTATTTGAACAATTTTTATAAAAAATTATTTTTTTTTACATTTTGTCAAATTTCTCGAATACGGACCATTTTAGGAAAATTTTGAATAGAACAAAAATTATAGATAATTATATTAAAAGTAACTTTTATTTGAAGAATTTTCTTCTCCAAACGTAAATAACAGATATATTCCATGAAATATAAAAATGACCACCCACAAAGTACCCCCCCAGATGTTCCGACTCTGCCCAAAATCTAATCAGCTCATTAGACGCTGGAACAAAGCTTAAGTTTGAAATTTGGTGTTTTTCCGTGTATCGGTTCATGAGTTATGCGTTATACAGACAGACAGACAGACAGACAGACAGACAGACAGACAGACAGACAGACAGACAGACAGACAGACAGACAGACAGACAGACACTCCACTCCACTCACACTCACACTCACACTCACACTCACACTCACACTCACACTCACACTCACACTCACACTCACACTCACACTCACACTCACACTCACACTCACACTCACACTCACACTCACACTCACACTCACACTCACACTCACACTCACACTCACACTCACACTCACACTCACACTCACACTCACACTCACACTCACACTCACACTCACACTCACACTCACACTCACACTCACACTCACACTCACGCAGACGCAGACGCAGACGCAGACGCAGACGCAGACGCAGACGCAGACACAGACACAGACACACACACACACACACACACACACACACACACACACACACACACACACACACACACACACACACACAGAGACATCATCGCGAAAATAGTCAAAACGGATTCAGGGGACCTCAAAACGTAAAAATCCGTCGAAAACTCGAGGTCGAAAAAAATCATGATTCCTATACTTTCCTTATATCTGTATACAGATAGGAAAGTAAAAATGGTCACCTTAACCAATGATCTTCCATCATATATGAATTCAAATAATGCCGAATTATAAACTACCATGTATGCAGATGATACCAATTTCTCATATCACTGCAATAACACATCTGACATAGTTATCAAAAACTCTAAGATTATGACTGAAGCTAAACAATGGTTTGATAGCAACAAATTATTTTTAAATCACAATAAAACTGAAACATGTGTCTTCAGGTTGAACCAAACTACTAGTGAAACAATGAACACTAAATTTCTCGGTATATATTTTGATACACAACTTACATGGAACTATCAAATAAATAACTTATGCAACAAGTTGGCAAAATTCACATTTGCTCTACATAGAATATCAAATATAGTTAATACAAAAGCAGCAATAACTACTTATTATGGCTTATTCTATTCCAATTTAACATATGGGATTCTAACTTGGGGAAATGCTAGCTTAATTTCACTACAAAGACTTTTTATCTTGCAAAAATCAGCAGTTCGCTCTATTCTGTGGGTAAATTATTATAAACCATGCCTACCACTATTTAAGCAACTTAGCATAATGACCCTGTTTTCACAAATAGTATTTGAAAACTTGCTAGCCATAAAAAATAATTTGGGAAACTTCACATGTCACTCATACAATCATACATAAGATACCAGAGAGAAAAATCAGCTAATCCAAACGGGAACTTGAATAAACAAGTCCCAAACAATTGGCATTTCATTCTATAATGCACTTCCGCCCCACATCTGTAATCTACCAGGAAAAAAGTACATCTGTAATCTACCAGGAAGAAAGTTTAAACATCAAATTAAAAAGATATTACTGGAAATGTGTCTATATAACACTAACGATTATTTTGTAAGAGTGAAACATGTCACCTAATATTTTTAATATTGTATTTTTTTATATAATTTTTATTACTATTACCAACCATGATCTTTTAAAATCCTATTTTATTTTAAATTTTATAGGAGTATGCTGTATGTTAATGTATGTAAAATGTGGTGTATTTTACCATTTATGTGTACTGACGACTATGTAAATATGTTAATATATGTATTACTGAGAATAAATATTTCTATTTCTATCCAAATCATTAATAATCTAACAATATGTATAATGTATAAGAAATCAATTAAAGCCGTATAGGTACCTACCTTTTTCATAAAAATATTCAGACAAACTATCAGCAATTCTTTGCAAATTGACCTCATCAGTCTCATTGATAATTTTAGCTCTAGCAAACAAAACATCAACTTTATCACATGTTTGGTCATCAAATATGTCAATACCAGCCACATTAATTTTGAGAGGCCCAGACTTTGCAATTAACGGCCTGAAATAAAAAAAAACAGGCTATGGTTTCTTCATTGATAAAGTCAAGTGATATATGGACATACTTTACTTAAATTTTTTATGGATATTTTTTAAAGGTTATTACATACTTAAGAATAGTCTCATTATATTCTTCCAAGGTATTTATAGCTTCCTGTTTTTCTCTGTCATTCAAAAGAACCAAAACACAAACTGTAAGATGCAACTTTAGCGTGCTTATGAATATGGATTCATCCAATCCTTTGGTATCCTTATCTTTGAGAATTTCATTTTTAAAATGTTCAAAGTTGCTTTTTATTTCATCACTTAGTAAAGGTATTGCTATGAACTGTAAAACCATTGATCTATTTCTTATATCCCCAATAATTGAGTGGATTTCATGTAAAGCAATTGCAAGATTTCTTTCATTATCACCAGATATTGATAATTTGCCTGATTTATTTGCGTTTGGTACACTAATAGTAGTATTTGTTTTGCTCTTGATTACATGTAAGTCATAAAAATCGTTCTGTTTCAGTTTTGCATAGTACAAACTATAAAAAGTATGGATTACTATAATTCTTAAAATATTTTATTAACTTACAGTGGCAATTCAAAATTAACTGATATTTTTCCAGTGGCATCAACATCATAATTAATATTTTCCGTATTAACTGGATCATCTGGTTCTTTAAGTTGCCCTAAAATATTCAAATACTCGAAATTGCAAAAACTACTTTAAAAATTGTAATGTATAATAATTGTATTATTTATACCCAAATCTGATGGTGATTTTAATTTTTTTCGTGTGTGCCCTTTAAAATGTTTTATATTAAAACATTTCCCATCTATCCACATACGAATAGGTTTAGCTTTAGAGCATCCTATAGATTTTAATGTTTTAGACATTTTGATTATAAAATTTATTAATAATCCGTTGTTTATAAACAAAAAATAAACAACTGTCAAAAATAAAGATGGCACAAAAGAACTATTCCTAACTTCGCTGTTATTTATAAAATGTCACTACCAAACAAATACCTTCTAAAACTAGAGAGAAAATCGTATCTCTGCATATTAATTTATATAAATAATAAGTAGGGACTGTGTAGCAGTAGTAAAAGTTGGAAAAGCTTTTGCCAGTTCTTCCACTTTATGCACATAAATTGACAGGTTTGCGGCGAATCTCACCGAAGTGGACGCGATACATTGGCGTACAAAATTATTTTATAGATGTTAATAACAATTTCGAGTTTAATAAATGTTGTACGCCAATGTATCGCGTCCACTTCGGTTATATCCGCCGCAAACCTGTCAAGTTGTGTATGAAGTGGGAGAACTAGCATAAGCCTTTCCAACTTCTGCCCCTGCTATAGAATAAGTTGTTTTAAATTGTTACCGGCTGAATCGGACAATCACATGTATTTATGGATTAGAAATAATTATTAAACAAGTATTATAATATCCCAATCATAATTCTACAAAATTCACAATTTATTAATTATTTACCCGAAATGGTTATTAACATCTATAAAATAATTTTGTACGTCAATGTATCGCGTCTACTTCGGTTTAGCTTCGCCGCAAAACTGTCAATTTTTGTGTATGAAGTGGGAGAACTGCGAAAAGCCTTTCTGATAAGAATTCCGATTTCCTGAACATTATTTATTCTTCACGTGTTTTAATTTTAAAAAATCTACTCATGGCAACATTTGTCCGTCTGCCTATGAGGTCAAGTTATCAATTTTGAAAGTTTTAGGACGGTTTAATTTGTCACAACCATTTATTTCAAATTACGCAACTTCAAGGTACCATTTGGGAACGAGAGGCCGAAACAGGAGACCGAGGCAGGTGATCGCGACTTGTGATCGAGATACGTCGCTTAATGTTTGAATCAATTATATATGAATGAACTGAATGAAGCTCATTATAAGGACCGAGTGACCGGGACAGCACGCTCAACAACGGTGTAGGGCTAGATGTTTGCTGCTTATCGAGGCGAGAATACGAATTTAAATGACCATATTTGTTATAACAAAATATGGTTACTGTAGGTAGCAAGGTTAAACAGAATCGACCCTATCTGTAAATTTTAATCGACATTTACCTATTTTGCTTTGTTGCAACACCACTTTATGGTTTTTATGCACACTTAATTATTTTTCTATTTCACAGATTTCACTCTTCCTACAATAATACACCCAGAGATGGGGTTAATGGGAAAATAAAAGTAGATATTTGGCAACACGTCACGTCACGGTCTATGTTCCGGACATAAGTATTAAAAAGAAATGAATCGAGAGAGTATTTCGATTTATAAACTTGCGGTTTCCGTCGCCGTTACCGTTCCCGTTCTTGTTTCTATTTCACGTTACAGTCGCCGTTGATATTCACGATTTATAAAGTTGACATTTAGCGTCGTTATGTGATGGGTACCACATACTTTGATTAAGTATGTGGATGGGTACATAATCTAATCGATGGAGCCCACATGGAGCCTAAATAAATCAAAGTAAAACGAAAAGAAGAAAAATTTGACGTTTAACCACATTGTTGCGCGATTTTCGTTTTGAGTTTTCATTAAGTGCATTTTTTTAATTGAGTAAAATAAATGAAGTTATCTATTTAGATATTCTGCTTGGAATACTTTTGTGTTTTTTCAAACGTCCAGGTTTTTTATTGGTTAATATGCGAACGGCACGAACGGTAAACTGCAAAACTTAAAACTTTGTTATGTTTGAACGTCAGGAAGCGTCATGTACAACAACGAACGGTGCCAACAACAGAGAATATAAGTGGGCAACAGTGAAAGTACCGTTTTAACTTTCAACGGGAACTGCAACTGCGAGCGGTAACTGCAACTGCAAGTTTATAACTCGGCCTTTATTAAAGTTAAAAATTGACTAATAAAAAATTTTAGTGTTAGTTCATATCTTGATACATTTTTGACAAATTTTTGTTGTATTGTATACTTTAATGCTCGCTCCCGTTTCCACTGTTTACTTTCTCATCTAGCTATACATGGTTGTTGGATGATAAAAATAAAAAAGAAGATTGTGGACAGAACTATTCCTAACTTTGTAGTTTTTACATGACTGTCATTGTCCAAATCATTATTTACATTTTTCTGTCATCTGTTTCCAAGGCATTTAAACTTTAAATTAATCATCGTAGTTTTTAATTGTTGTGAATACATGTGTGAATATTTATTAGATGGCAACAATTCGGGTTCCTGAACAAAAAATAATACTCTGTGGAGAATATGGAGTGGGAAAAAGTTCTATATTTCGAAGATTTACTAATAATACTTTTGTGACAGCTTCAGATAGAAAATCAACCCTAGGACTAGACCACTGCTCTAAAATATTTAGCGTTTGTGATAGAGATTTAAAAGTAGGTGTTTAAATGTTTTACATTAAAATGTTCTTACAAATAGCTGTTTTAGTTACAATTATGGGATACAGGTGGAATGGAAAGAGTGGCTTCTATTACATCAAGTTACTATAAATTTGCAGAGGCTGCCATTTTAGTTTTTTCTTTTGATAACCCAGCTTCCTTTCATGTTTTATCTCAACATTTACTAGATATAGTTACATATGCAGAAAATGCCAAGATCTTCCTTTGTGGTAACAAAAGTGATTTAATAGAAGCACCACCACAGATTACTGATGCTGAAATAGAAACTTTTTGGTAAATGAAATTGAATTTTTATAAATTAATGAATGAAAAAAATTTGAGTTTCAATTTTTTTTAGTGAGCAATGCCACAATTTAGTATCTGGTATCTACAAGACTTCTTGTAAGACTGGTGAAGGTCTGGAGGAAATGTTTACAGACATTGCGTTCCAGCTGGTAAATATGAACAGATCCAGAATAGAACTTCAGTCAATGGAGCAACATGGTTTTAAAATTATTCCTTATGAAGAAGAACAACAAGAAGACAATTGCATGTGTTGAAAACAAAAAAAGGAGGGTAGTTCGTTTTTATTACAATAATACTCTGAGTTATGTAATCAATGCATTCAATGAACTTAAATTATTTGTTAATTTCTGCCAGAATTTTACATAGTTTGAGTATAAATTATTATTTCACAAAATTAAAAAAAAAATAGATTAAATGAATTAAAACCTTAAAATCATTAACAAGCATTTTGCTGACAACGAAAATTTGTAATAATAATCAAAATATTAAGAAATGAAGGTCATGTTGATTTTTTTTTAATACTGCAAGAGTGAAAAATATTTTAAAAAAGTTTTATTATTTAATATTATTATTCCTAGGATTTGATGATTTTTATTTTTATGGCCTCATTGAGTCAAATTGTTCTTAATATTTTTCTAGACCAAAGGATGGAAGGTACTTATTTTACTAGAACATTCTAGATTTGAATAAAAAGTGCTTCATAACTGTCAGAATCCATTAAACTCACTGTCCGTGCCCCTGGATGGACTGAAAAAGAAGAACAATAAAAAAAAATAAGCGAAAGAAAATTGCTTTAGTGAAAAAATTACAAAACAATTTTTTATATTTATTTATTTTTTTAATTTTTGTCATTATTTCTCTAAAGCAGAGATATTCAACTTCTGTTTGGATTATTATTAGTTTTGAAACAAGCTAAAACTTTTATAGAGAATGACATTTTTTCAAAAAGGTGAACATAAAAGTTATTCCTATTTTTCAGTCCATTCCGGGAACATCCTGTATGTCAATATGTTCTTTGTTCTTCTCATCAACTTCTTGTGTCAGCATAGTGCTTAAATTTTGTTCAGAATGGGCTTCAGTACTCTGTTGAGTGTGTTCTTCAATTTTATAACAATTGATTAGGATCATAATGTTTTCCAGAGATCAGGACCTTCTTTTTGTACTCCCACTTGAACTTTGAATATTACCTTAACTTATATTCCTTATATTGTGATAAAAGGTTCCTTCTCTTTGTACACATGTTTTCTTTTCCTCTTTATTTATAGAGCTTGCTTTATTTTTCTGAGTTTGTTGCTTTTTATTTTTATCACACACAAATACCTCATCTTTTTGAGAAATAATTTATTGTCTTTAAAATTAATATTTAATTATCTATCGAATGTAGTCAAATACTTCAGAATGGCCTTTATAGAATTTTTACTTTTGAAATTTTAGATATTTAGTTACTAACTTAGTTGGAATGAGTCATATAACTCAGAGAGTTAATGTACAGACTTACATCAAACAGAACATATTGTAACGTGATTCTTTGTAAATAGTAGATTTGGATTTAAAACATTGTAAAAACTTTTATATTTATTTAAATATTTTCTTAGGTAAAAACTAGTCTTTAATACCTGATTTTTTTCATTATACCAAAGTAAAAATACTACCATGTAAGGTATAATATAACGATTAAGAGAATATACAGAGTCAAGATGTCTACTCAATTTATTTGGTTATTATTAAATTAATGCTACGTTTGAATATCCACATCTGATGCATTTTTTACATATTGAGTATTTGTTTATCCACATCGGACACATCTGTCCTACTAGATTTACGTATATTGAATCACGTGATCAAAGATTTACATCTCAGATGCATCGGATGTGCCCAATAAACACAGTTTAATAGGCACCGTAACTGGGCCGAAAAAGGCTTGCCGGATGCCCGTAAGGATGCCTCCCATGTCTGGAAAGCCGAATATGGACCATATGCGGTTTCTGCTTCTAAATTACGTCAAATGGTACGGTCCTCCCGGCTCAGAAGAAAGCCCGACAACGGCAGTCCGAGTACTCCGCTTCCCGTACATGCCGATGACAGGCCGAGCGAATGCCGACTATTTGTGGTTTACTGGGTGGATATTCAAACGCAGCATAAGATAAATACATAATTTTAAACAATTCTTAAAATTGTTATGTATCGTTCTTGTCCAAAATACCTGTGATGATATTTTTTGGAAAATATACATTTTTAATGTTTTTGATAAATTATTTTCTGATCAAAGTTTGTGTTTATTGTTGTTGAAAATTGTTATACCTGTTTTTGTACTAGGTAGTATTGTGGTTTTTTTTTTATAAAAAAAATACTTTGATATTTAGTCATGATGAAATTATATTTGGACCTACACTCATAGGAAAAGTGCTCTCAAATTCGTTTGTTCAGTTCAATTGGTGTATTATGCACGGTTTGGTAGGTCGAGCTGTGAGATACTGTTTAAACTACAAACAAATCCAAAAAAATATAGTAGATGAGCTAGGTCGGTTCTAGCACATCATTACAAATTTTTACTATCATTCAATGTAACGTGTGCATAACGCAATGAAAAGGAGACACTCACATACTTATAGATATTAATAATAAAATTGATTTATTAACTTATACTACTCAACTTAACCTCAGTATAAATATAAACTAACAAATAAAATCCAAGTTGAAAGAATTCAAAATACTGAGTCAGCCATCTGATATTTAAATACTGTTTTTATATTGAGCCAGCTAAGCTTTCTAATTTAACTTGATTTTCTAATACCAAATACAAAACGACAAGAGTTTTGAATTTTTAAACCCTATATTTGGGTATTTAATCTAAACAACCCAGACAGCACACCAAATCCTTTGGATATCTACTGAACATCCCAATATCCACTAAATGTCCAGCCCATGGTGGATATCTATTTTATATCCATGGGATGTAATTTATAGATATGCAAATGTCCATAAATAATAGTAATTATATAGCAAATTGTTAAAAAATTACGCCATTGTGGCTAATAGTACCGTTCAGATATTTAAAATTAATTTTTTTAAGGTGTATTCAATATCCCATGGACTAAATATATCAAAGTCTAGGCGCGAACGCAAACCATGGTGGATATCCACTAGATGTAATTTTTTATTTTGCTTACTAAGTATAGATGGCGATGCTACTTTCGCATCTACTCATGCTCAACCCGCCGTAATTGAGTTCGATCGAAATTGATATCCCAATCAGACTCCATTAGAGACTGGAGTCGAGAATTTCCATTTATTGCTGAAGAGTCCTAATAAGGATGACTTTCTCCTTAGTGGGCAAAATCAAAGGCAGGGTTTTGAAAATATTTTTTATCTCTGCTATTTTCTTTCGACGTTATTCAATAATCATTGGTTACTTATGAACCTCTACTAAAGATACCCATAAAATATTTTGCTGAATATCCGAATATCTTCTATATCCTGGGATATAGACGGACATTTGGATATCCATATTAGATCCACTACTGGATATGTTGGATATCCACAAAATATATTCTGTGAATATCTCTGGGATTTTTTGTATTGTCTGGAAGATACCCATTAGATATTTTGCTGGATTGGATATCCATAGGATATCTTCTATATTCTGGATATGACGGACATTTGGATATCCATATTAGATCCACGGGATATTTCTGATATCCTGTGGATATATTGGATATCCACAAAAGATATTCTGTGTATATCTCTGGGATTTGATGTGTTGTCTGGGAAGGTTAGTAAATTAAAAGTCCATAATTTAGGATGCACTTTTACCTCAATTGATCTATAAATGATGGATAAATAGATACGATTTTTTGACTAGAAGCGCAACATAAACGGCCTACACACGTAACGATTTATCGTACTGCATGCAGTTCGATATCCATCGAAACTGCCGCATTAACGATAAATCGTAGCGTGTGTAGGGAAATTGGATGGTTTGCAGTATGCAGTCGTCAAATCGTTTGCAGTAGGGAGCTTCCATAAAATATCGTATCAACGGGTCGTGTCTGGGGTGGGGTTTGAACGCAAGTCTGAACGCAGCGCGCAGTTACGATATAATTTGTATTTATTTTTGGTTTAATCATTATTATGGATTTAAAAAATAAAACGTTCTGGAAAGACTTTATTAATTTATACAGAGAAAATAGATGCCTATGGGATGTGAAATCAAAAGATTATGCAAATAAAATGAAAAGAAATTCCAATTATGAAATTTTGTTTAAAAAATTTAAGAAATTGTTCCCAGAAGCATCTCAAGAAGTGATGAAAAAGAAAATAAACAATATAAGAACATCCTGCTGCTAAATATCTTAGTGTTGCAACCAATCTTTCTTCAGCAGATATTGCGTTTCTCATAATTGTATCTTGCTTCGTAATTTTATTACAAACTAAATCCATCAAACACGTAAAGGCATCAGCATCCATTCTTAAATAGTTTTTAAAATCACAAGGTTCTTCTTTTTCTAGCACTTTTAACAACCTCATATGTGAATATTTCTTTCTTTCCAGCAACCACTTTTTACACCATTTTCGCTTTTTGATTTCTTTTTGTTCATCATCTTCATCTATCAGCAATACCGCAGCTACAAGCACGGCAGCTTTCTTCTTTAAAATTCTTGACATAACGGTGTAGCCCTTCTCGACGAAAACTGAATAATCTGAACTGCGGCAGTACAATGTGTTGCATCGTGTGTACAAAAAATGACTGTACTGCAAGCCGAACGATTTTCTTTACGATCTGCAGTTCAAAGCGCAGTACGATAAATCGTTACGTGTGTAGGGCGTTATAGACCTGATACTACCGTAGTTTGCTGTCATTTTATGATTTTCATGATTTTAAAGGTTAATGTTGAATGAATAACTCAAGGTTGTGTTGTAGATTATGCTCTGTAATGTTCAGGACAAAATAATATTGTATTACTGGCGTTTAGTTTAAGGTTATGTTTTATGTAAAATGTATATGCAGTATCTGAATAAGAATTTATGGTTAGCGAAGCTACATCTACTCCATATGAGTCAAAGGAATAATATAGTTACGTGTCGTCAGTAAACGAATGTATATTTACATGATTCAATAATTTATAAAGGTCTTAAATGTACAGTGTGCCCCAAAAAGTTTTATACAAATTGAAATAAGTTTTGTTACATTTCAAAAAAGTATATATTCTTGATAAAAAGTTCTGCATCACTTGAAAATCCGTGGATCAAGTAT